AGAATTTTTCTTTGTCCCACGCTCGTGTCATGTTGATTAATTCACCTTCACATGATGGAAACTGTTGCCAGCCACCTCGCAACAAAATATGTCAACTATATATTTGTCTTAAAATTTCAATTAAAACTTTTAACACATTGAAAATTTTCTACTAGGCTTTCCAGAGGTCGTCTTCATCAAGCAAGAGTTACTACATAGCCAAAGATGCAATTTCTGGTATATCGAACACACCAATTCTCATGATGCATTTTCGTTCGTTACCTTTGCGTACCTTCTATCCACATCATTAACCAACCGAAAATTTCAGTTGGAATTTTCGTTCGGGCAGAAAGCATTCATTTGTTGTTGACATTCAAACTGAATTTTCCTGATTGTTTTCAGAATTTAATTAAAATAAAAAGAAAGACTTTTATTTCAGCCTGCGTGCAGACGTCTACTACTTCATTTGTTTTACGCGGAAAGGAGTCATAATTTCCACGCGAGACAAAGGTAATTATTACATATAATTGGAGTTGAGGCAATGCCCGCTTTTATTAGCTGATTTATGGTCAGGTGGCAATGGTAAAAAAAAAGTCTGCATACGGGCCAAGTGACTCATTACGCCGGTACTTATCTCCGGTTTTGTATCAGTTCTCATCCCTCCCTCTAGATGGGATGCTAGTTCATCGCAGGGTTACTTACAGTGTACCAGCATCAACTTCGCCGGTACCCATTTATACACCTGGGTGAAGAGAGGCACTGTGAGAATAAAGTGTCTGGCCCAAAAACGCAACAAAATGTCCCTGGCCAGGGCTCGAACCCGGACCGCTCGATCTGGAGGTGAGCGCACTAACCGTGAGGCCACCGCGCCTCCTCTCAGGTGGCAATGGCTGCGTATAAATGTCACCGAGCGGGAGACAATTAAGCAAATTTCGCTCGTTCTCCACTAACCAGAGTATGTTAGTTTGATTTGGGGGTAATTTTTCTTGCCTTTTTACTTTACATTACCTTTCTCTAAGCCATGTAAATGTAAACTACACGAGAAATA